AAAAAAAAAAAAAAAAAAAAAAGATTTTTTTTAAAACCTTGATAAAGAAAAAAAAATCAAGAAAAATTGCAAAAATAAAATAGGAAAAGAGTCTTCACTGCCACACAAATTCAGATTTTACTGATCAAATTTTTGTCTCAAAGTCTAAATCAACATTTTATATGGACTGCCCTTTGTAGCAACTTAATTTGTTTTGTTTCAATTTTATTTTTATTATTTATTTTACCATTTTCTATAAGTATATTAAAATCCAGTCTTTTGAAAAAAAAAATAAAATAAAATAATAATAATAATAATAATAATAATAATAATAATAATAAATAATAATAATTAATTGGTCCCCTTAGATTTTCTTGATAGTCATATAATTAAATGTCACTATCACTGGTCCTCCTGCTTTATGCCTTACGGTCTCGACTTTTGATTTTTCATATTATTCATTACACAAATGAAAAAGAAAATATTTTAAAATTATTTATAAGTTTTTTTATTGGGAGAAATCATGTGAGACTACTGGCATTCAAAATCTCCGGCCCGTATATTATGGGCCGGTTCAGGTCCCCCAAAAAATGCGGCCCAGTACCGTGATTTGACCATGACTAGATTAGTAAGGTCCAACGACTATGCTATTTTATTCGTAGAGTGGCCTATTTAGTGTATTTGTTTTTAAAATTTTTATTTCATGAATTCTTGTATGGACAGTTAAAACTTTTTAATAAAATTGAATATCTATACTATTCAATGTAATTTTTTGGTTTATTTTATTTTTTAGAGTTTGATATTTCAAATTATAAGTATGAATGTTGAAAAAGCAGTCTTATTGTATCTACTAGTACTTGATCTTGTACACAGGCACATATACAAATAAAATTTTATATGTTATATGTGTATATATGTAATATTTGAAACCTAAAGTTAGGTAAAGGACATATCACATTTTATATAATTTATAAGAAGTAACAATTTAAATATAAACTATTTACTTTACATATTAATCTTTATATTGATTGCAATAATGTAACTTTTGTAGTCTTGCCTTAATACATGACCAATTAATTAAATTAAATTAAATAATATTGAAGTGATTATTAGAAAAATTATGTATGGAAATTTAAGGTGCTTGGCCATGTCATAAAAAACAATTTAACTAATTTTAATAAAAAAAAGTACTTGATGAGCTGATTTTTTTTTTTTTTTGAATAAATAGTTTTTAAGAATATTAGAGCAGGATATCAATTAATGTAACTTTAATTTTAGTTATTAATAGCTATTATATAATAAAATAAATGATAATACAATTACTTGATTAATGCAAAATATAGCGAAGAACAGCCTAAAAACGAAAAAAAAAAAAAAATTGTCATAAAATTGTTGACCAGTTGATCCATCGGGTAAGATGAAAATTTCAAAACAATCAAAATTATCACATACATATGCAGCATGCCGTCTCGAACTTAACAAAATAATGTAATATTATTATTAGACATATCGAACAGTTAGATAATTATATATTTTTAATAATATACATATTTTCATACTGAAATATCATCATATTATAAAAATAATATAAATAAAAATATAACCTTTTATAATATAAATATATTTGAAAAATCACATATCAACCCAATCATATTATAAAAAATAATATAATTAAAAATGAATATTTTATATTATATATATATATATTAAAAAAATATGAATTATCAACTCACATACTAATGAAACACCTTTAAGAGGGAAAAAAAATAAATAAATGTCACCAACCATCAAATAATTCAGTCACCATTGAGTGAGATGAAGTGTGCCACATGGACCAAGCAAGTTAAAATATAAGCAAATGGTGGGGGCATTTTCATAACCATATGGATTTTGGGACCATTAAATTAGAAAGAAACGTTTTGGCCAACGGGGTTCAAATTAATTGACACTTTTGTTAGTGTAATATAATATTCCTATTAAAAAAAAAGACACCAATGTCTATATTGTGGACATGATAAGGCATGTCAACACTACATATGGGACCTCAACACACATCAATTATTGTTGTTGCTTCTTGTTTGTTTTGAATTAAAAGTCCCACAAAAATCCCAAAGTAAATTTAGAATTAATTTACAGAAATTCGTAGGACGTCTCACAAAAATGTACCCCGTTGAGTCAGACGAGTCGTGTAGTTTGCCAACAATTCTTCGTATTTTTGTACGCATTTTATCATCCGCAGTTTTTCTGATAGTTGCGAATTATAAAATAGTCGATTGTCCTACAAAAGCTTGGTATTTTTCTTTCAAGAGGTTGGAGGTTCAAATTATAAGTTGTAGCCATTCTCCAATTAGTCAACGGAGCTGAATTTATTAAGATAAAAAAAAAAAAAAAAATCCCATTGAATTGGGACATTTAAGTCATCGGTGGATTATATTAATCCACGAATATTAAATGGAATAAATAATTATATATGAATAAAACAAAGCAGCTAATCATACAATACAAAAGGCCCCATAAAATCGTGTTATCCAAGGGCGTGATTAGTAATAGTGTGTTCACTTAATAATGACAAAGATCACGAATTAAAAATTAATTTCCCATTGAATGGGGACTTTTAAGCCCAATGGATTATATTAATCCACGAACATTCCATAAAATAAAAAAACAATATCTGAATAATAAAAACAATGTAGCTCATCATAGAGTGGTTAGTACACAATGACAAATCCCGCTTCTCCCTCTATATATTAATTCAAAATGCGCGTATTGAGCCTATGTGGCAGACACGCATGATTCGGGATCCTACGTGGCAAAATTGCATGCTTCGTTATTAGGTTTAAGTATATTTTTTAATTTACTTCAAAACCAAAAATAATTAGGTTCCGATTATCCATTACTATGTTGAATACTTATGGTCATGTTACATGTATTAATTGCATTTACGTTGAATAGTAAATGTATTTTAAAAGTTAATAACTTTTGTATTTTTTTAGCAGCATTACATATATAATTATATCAAATTAATCATCTCTTGATGAGTTTCGATTTAACATCCATATTGTATTTATAAGAAAAAATATAAGTTATATTTATCTTTATAACAATAATAAGATTGTTTTTTTTATATTAATTAGAAAATAAAATTATTTATCAATTAATATATTAATATCTCAAGTAGTTATATGATATAAGTTATAAAATTACTATAATATTATAACACATGTGAGTCGCACAAGTAACAAGTGTTACTCTAAAATATATTATAATATATATTTTTTGTACAAAATTTTTTTCATAAATTTTAAAATTTAAGAATATTTTTTTAACAAATACCCGTGTAGTACACATGTGTTATACTAGTTTATGTATAATTATAAAAAAAAAAAGAGCTTTGTACGGTATTTTTCTGCTCCTTTTGTCCCAATCAAATATGTGGCTGCCATTATTTCGTCTGCATGCACAAGCAATATTTTATTTTATGGGGATGGTTTTTGTATTTATGTGAATCTCCACTGTAAGATAATATATTATTTAATATATACATTATTATTAAAATTATGCATAATAATTCATATGTGAAAAAGAAACATGCAATTTGATATCAAGTAGCGTGTGTATCTGACATGAATATATTAGATATCTTCATATGTGATATAATAAATTGATATAGCATTGCATCTGAAATATAATTATACCAACCTAATAAGTTAGCTGGCCATATTTATTTTTATAAATATATTTGTATACTTTTATACTAATATTAAATGTTATTTAAAATAAAAATATAACATTTTACCGTATGTACATGTATTTTTCTCATACATATGTTAATTAGTTTATTTATTTTTCCATGCATGTGTTATTTTTCAATGAAGCATGACAAATACTAGTTAGTATAGTCATTAATCAACGGAAAAAAATGCACTCAAACAGCTTCTAAACACAACACTCAATGACAATCATTCATCCCCAAGAGTTGAGGTACATAACTTTAAACACTTAAATCAGTTCAAGTTAGCTACTCCAGCAAACAAATTACAACAATTTGCCTAAAGTTTTCAATAACTATACTCGGACTCGGAAGAGGAAGAAGAAGAAGAAGAAGAAGAAGATGGCGAAGAACCACCATCCGAACTCGAATCGAGCTTCCCATCTTGCCCTCCACAGCTCGACTGGATTTGCTCCTTATTGTAGTCACTATTTACATACCCTTGATCGTAATAATTGTAATTATCCTCATATTTGAAATCACCATCGACATCATCATTCTCCCTATCAACTTCGTAATCGACACTCTCGTTATATGGCTCGTGCCTCGAAAAACCGGCAGCCGACACATCATCATCATACTCATCTGCCGATCCACTTGCATTGCTCTTGTCGAATTCCGATCTTCCGGAACTACTAGCGGAATTTTCCGCACCGTTGTCTTCAGCCATATTCCAATCTTCTTGCCGTAAAGCGGTAGTGTCCTCAGAGACGATTTTGCCCCTGGTCCCGCTTTCATTGATGGATGAGGACTTTTGCCTGCCAATGGTCGAGCGACGACCTTTCTTGGGGAGGAGGGATGGGAATTTATTATTACCTTTTGTTGGGGTCGAATTGGATGGGCCAACCTGGGGATTTATAATGGGCTTTTTCTGGGCTTTCGCGGCACAGGCCGTCAGACTAGGGCCTCTTGGGCGGCCCCGGCCACGCTTCACGGTCGTGTGGCCATTTATTGGGTTGGGCCAGCCGTTGTCTTGTTGTGGGAATCCAGTTTGTGACGGGTTGCCCATGGAATTTTCCGAAGCAGGATACATGGAAGGAAATTTCTGCAGAAAATATAAATGCAAATTGTAAGGTCCATTTTATCGGTAAGACATGGTAAACGAGTCTCCAAGAAGACGACGAAAACAATAAATGATTCCTAATTAAGAGAAAAGAACATTACCGGTCCTCTATTACCATGAAATCATCTAAAATGTGAGAGTTATTCATAACATTAAATGCAACAAAATAATAAATCTTACAGTGATATGTCCAGATTCTTTTTCTTTTTCGTGCGCTGCTTTCTGGTCGAGTGTATAATAGATGGACAAGTCAAGTTCCATAAGCCTCAAAGCCACAGCTGGCGTTGTTCGAGGTATCCATGGAAGTACTGCAACTTCTTTAGGCATAAACAAAGTTTTGACACAATTCCCAGCAGCTCCAGATGAGGTCAAAATCTCAGACGTGGTCTCATAATTTGCCGACAAAAACTCTCTCTTGATGCCATCTTCAAGCAACGTCAGACTCTTAATAGCAGCCAAGCCAAAACGAAACAATCAATATACATTTTGTGAAGAGAAAGGAAAAAAAGGCACAATATGAGGGATTCTGCGAAAAACCTGAAGAAGGTCTTCAGCTGTCGATGCCTCGTACAACTTTCTACCCCAACATTCCCTGTATTCATCTGACCAAACAGTTCCAAATGCATCTGAAGGAATTGAGGCCTGCAAAAAGAGAGGAAAAAAAAAAAAAGAAGTTGAAAACTGAAATTACTTGATCTTATTGACGTGTAAGAAATGAGGTCAGAATCACAAAGCTAACTGTCATGAAAATAGTGAAAATTTTGAATTCCCCAACATATAATAAGTCTAACCTCAATGGAAGCCAACTGAACTTTCAGCAATCTAACCCTTGGGGGAAGAGAAAGGTCGAGTAAGATCCCTTTAGTCCCTTCACTAATATTCTTTTGGCATTGCCTGATGTGTTCTGCAAAACTGAAATGCAACTCTGAAGTTTTGTGAGTCCTATGACAGTAAGGACAGTGACTATCCTCCCAAGAAAACAAGCCATGACAAGATTTGCAAATTTCCAGTAGCTTTTCACGCCTAAATGTTCCGTACTTCAAGGCACCTGATATATTAAAGCATTCTTTCCAAAGCCACTCGAAATCCTTGTATCTTTCAATGACCTTGTTTTCCTCTGTTCCATTGTTTTCAAGCTTGTGTTTGATATCTGGAAATTCTTTCTTGAAACCTTCACCGGAATGGACACCGGTATTTGACCGTAACAAATTAATGCTCGCTGATTTTTTGAATGATGCCCCTATATTTTGCAACATTGAATGCAAATGATATTCTCTAATTCCACGGACGTCCAAAGATGTCAGCAGAGCATTGAAACCCTACATGCAATATAGAGAAAAGCTTCTAAGAAAAAATGTACATATGCCAAATTGTAGTGACTTCTCATTTAGATGAAATGATGAACCAATGCAGGACCTAAAACGAGTATAAAAACGAGCCGATGTCTCATGTCTCAGTTGGACAAAAAAACCCAAGATCCATTGCATGAATGAAAAAGAATAAGATGATAAAAGTGCTTACAGGCTGAAATATCAGTTTTTTCTTCAGTTTCATTTTTCATTTACTATTTTATGCTCTTTACTCGATTATACAGTATTAAAGCACAAATTCAAACACACATAAAAGGAACAAAAAAAAGGTACCTCTTCCGAATCAATAATTCTCCACACGCGATTGCATAGCTCAACGTATATTTTGCCAGATCCTGGATCATTTCGGGATGAAGATGTCATAAACTGCCAATATCGGTTCCGCCTTCTGTCTTGTCCAAGAGGCAACGACCTGTGTACATAAATTTCCTCTGCCCGGTAACCGATTAAAGCTTTTATTTGCGATCGTGACTTCTCGGCAGTTTGCTGAAGCAACATGTTATCAGAAACTACAAAGGAGTTGTGCACTAAGGGCCTCTTTTCAGTAATTTTGCTTTCACAATAATTTTCTTCATTCTGCTGATCGTTCAAGTCGGCAAATTGAAATGCAGGGTTCAAGGATGAAGACTCGTTTTTCATGTACACGCTCGCCAACTGGCTTTTCCTGTGCTCAACTGATGATTGATGCTGGAACTTGAAACTAAGCTCGTCCTTGAAGCGCCGCTTATCAAGTTGGGCCTCGGCCCACATTTGCTTCTTTAGAGCATTTGCAGCTTCCAGTCGTTCCTGAAAAAAATCTAATCAATTAGCCAAATGAGATAATACAAAATATTAGGCATAGTGAGTTTCTTAGAATGGGAAGAAACTTTATTTCCTGTTGTATCAAGAGTTCTCTACTTTTAGTTTAGATGTCAAATCATGTCTTGGAAAACACCTAATGTTGTATTATTATATTGCATTTTGTTGTATTTATACAAATGTGATGTGAATAGAAAAAGGTGATATACTGCAATCTTTACTATAAATGTTGGAATTGAGACCCTCAAGCTGTAGTTCAAACATTACCTCCAATGCAATACGAATAGCATTCCCTTCATTCGCTATGCCAACTAAGGCAACAAGGGCACCTAGACGCTCCTCGATGCTTAAATCCGAATACTCCATTTCAGAAAGCCCTTGAATCCATTGTTCTCCAAAGTCATGACCAGCAATTTCAAAGTCAACTCCAGAATTTTCTCCCCTGGATTTTATCTCATCCGCTGACCGATTGAAGGGCAAACCGCTTTTCAAACTCCCAAGGGCATTTATAGAATTTTCTCCATAATGAGAAGCTGCTTCATTTGTTTTTGGAACAGCAGCATCCAAGTCATCGACATCAGGATCATCCGGGCCATCGCTTTCGGATTCTTGATCTCTTGCGAGATCTTCCTTCTCAGCTTCTTCTTCCACAATTCCATTTTGGCATGCAAGGACTCTGTCTCTGGCAGACGATAGAATTTCCTCGGCATTAGAAGGGTCTTTTCTGTAAGGAGAGCGTACGCAGTAAGTCGAAGGGGCTGTTCTCTCGAACAGCTTTGTGTCCCTAGACAAAGCAGCCGAAATAGAAGCTTCCGGAGTTTTGCTCGTCGTGAGATCCCTGAGTCCAGATCTCTTCATATAAAGTAACAAAATTCTAGTCAGTGATATAATACAAAAAAAACTGGTGCTCCGCATAAACTATATGGATAAGGCACTTTTTGTAATAATATACCCTAAACCGTAAAATTACCTGGATCTTGTCAGCAACTTCCAGTATTGTAAGTCCCTTGCTTCCCTCCAGTGATAGAATGTGAAATGCTGCGTATTTGACTGTCCCAGGAGTCAACCGATGCCTAGACCTTCGAGAATTTGATAAACCTCTTTCTTGCATAATGGTGACAGCATTTTCAGCAGCCAATCCACTTCGTAGGTTGGATATTGCAGCTGCACCATCATCACACTGCAGTTAAATATATTCATTAGAATATCATAAAACTGCAAGAATCATATCAAACCAAATGGAAAGTGTGAGGAATTAAATTCTCTTGCAATGTTTCTTGGTCTCAAAAAATAATTACATGCGCAATGAATATTTTTGAACCTCAGTATCTTTGAATATTTTAGGCAGGCAGCTTTTGGATACATGTAGACACATTCTAAGATATAACCAACATGCAGCAAGCACCACTAAATAGAACAAAGTTCATGCCTCATTATCGTCAGGGGCATGAGCTGGATTTGTAATCCGCTTCTTCAACTTTGGCCCAAAACCTGCAGACAGAGCAAATTGCCTCAGCACCTCAGGCCAAGTTAATGGAGTCAGGAGGCGCTGCCAGTTAAGAAAGTCAAAACCCCAAGCATGTGCCTGTCACAAAATTATGAGAAGTGATTCAAATGAATAACTGCAGGAAAAAATGAATAGCAATAAGATATAAATATAAAATGACTATAAGTATAACACACCCCTTCAACAGCGTGTGGATGTCCTCCAAGAGGGTTAAAAGCAGAACTTTGATTTGCACCCATTGTATTGGCAGGTGTCCTTGCAACATCTTCAATGTCTTTCATAATGCATCTCAATATAGCTATATGGATCTCTCCCAGCAATCTTGAATCCTGCAAGTATGTGAGCACAATCGACATTTATATTGACTAATAGAAAATTTAAAGAGAGGAATTTTAGGAGCTTACACAATCATGCAACGCTTCAATGAACTCGTCCAATGTGAAGGGCCAGAGACCAAGAACATCAGCAAAGGCAATTAAGAATCTCCAAACCTACATAATGAAAATGAAAATGACCCATGAAGTCGTATGCTCCTCCATTTTCCCCAAATGAAAATGACATGACCCGTGCGAAATGAAAAAAATTCTGCTCGAAATCTAGAAGCGATCGACAAATATAGATATATAAAGAAATTGTTTAAAATTTAAATACAGGATAATGATAACGCCATTGGAAATGTTTTCCATTATCCAACAAAATATAATTATTCTTAGACAAAAAAATAAATTTTTCAGTACTATGGAAGTGCATTTACCAAGAAACACTAATATAAATGCTATTGATGTATATCAGTTGAAAATGAAATGATATTTAAGATTCTCTGTGAGATACACTTCCTCCAGTTATTAGATGGACAAATACAGGTAATGAACTGGTATTGGATAGTACTATAAACAATCAATACACGCACACACAAACACACACGCAATATATAAGTAAAAGCAAGAATGCTAGAAGTAATTATCATTACTAAGAGCCAAAGACTTACCATTAAAAGATTGCCGACATTCTCTTCCGAATTGATCCACGGTTGAACTCTGAAAGGCCTTTTCAAGAGCACCAGCTCAGGTGGGAATTCTGGGAGCTTATCTAAAGAATCAATTCACCAGGAATTTAATTGCCAGAAATATATAACAGCCAAATTTAAACTATAAACTTTCGATATTTCAAATGAATATGCAAAAACCATATTGATCAAGTAAGAAGAAGAGATCAGATGAGTATTAACGTGAAAGTAAACCAATAAAATACCTTTAAACAAGTCGAGATTCTCTAATGTCTCACTGTCTAGAGCCAAAATAGAGGGCAATCCCTTGCTTAAGGTTGCAAGCTCCATGAGTTCCAACCTTTCATCCTCAACCAACTCCGTTGGTTCCTTTGCAATTTTGCGAGCAGCTGCCCTGTTGTTTGCAGCTTTCAGCCGAGCAGCTTCCTTCTCCCTACGCCTTTCTTCTTTAAGCCTCATTTTCTCTGCCTGAGATAGAAGAGATCATTGAATCAGAAGGCGTCATGTTAAAGCATACCAAATTAAATAGAAAAAAGTTCTCTCCCTCGGTCTTAAATCATTACCCCAGGACTTTTTTTATCAGATCCTTCAAGACTAAAGATTCATTCTCTTCATAAAAAATAGGAGATTGAACCGATAGTTTCTTTTTCCAAAATAGCATTTTTTTTCCTTGTATTTTAGCCAAAAAAAAAAATGTTTTTCACCCATTTCTTCTTCTTCTTATGTTACCCTTGCAGTAAATGCTACCAAATTTAAGTTACTATTGAAATAAAGTTTGTTAAAAGGATGTATTTCAGATTCAGACAGCTCGTTACTAACAAAATCTCACTATAAAAGACGTCAGCTTATAATTTGGGAAGGACGACAATGCGTCTATCTTAGGGTACATAGAAAGATCAACAGATGGAAAAGGGATTAACTCTTATGTATTCTTTTTGTCGAAATTTCTCCCTTCGTTCCATTTCACGCCTTTGCTCCTTGAGGTATCGCTCCTCTTCACGCTGCTTTTCACGCAACAGTCTCTCCTCTTCCCTTCGCCGTTCACGGTCCTGCCTTTCCATCTCTTTCCTCATCTGCTCTTCTTTCTACATAGTAATCAATGAAGTTGTCAGCATAAGAATATAGCACGTACAACCAAAAATAGTCAACTGAGCAGTGGTGAAATTGAAGGAAGCATAAAATAGAAGAAACTGAATAACAAATATACCTTTCTCCTTATGATATCTTGTTTCTCTAGCTCTTTTCTCATCCTTTTCTCATGAGCTTCGACTTCCTTGGCTATCCTAGCTTCTTCGGCCTGCGAATCATATTGCAAGAATGCAATGAGGAACATCCTTTGGCATAAGTTGATGAATAATCCTGAATTGAGCTGATGTACCACGAAGGCTACAGATAAAAGTAGGACATTTGTGGACAATTAACTTTATGATAGATAGCTATGGACTATCCATTTCAATGCTGCACATATATCACAAGAGAAATAGTTTGGGGTAATCAAATTGAGAGAGACAGAGAGTGAGAAAGAAGAGAAAGTACCTTCCGCTTCCTCTCCAATCTTTCATGGTCAAGTACGATGCGCCTATCTGGTGTTATACTTTTATCAGCCAAACGAGTGACTGGGTGAACAAGAAGACGAGTGTCAATGCTGGCATTCACCACGGAGTCCAATGGAGGCTGATTATCAACTTCTCTGGGAGCTAGAGACAAGTGAACTTTTTGCGTGCTTTGCTGAGGTAAAATATGTAAGTCCGGCAACTGGGTTTGGAGGTATTCAGAAGATACTTGCTCATGGCTATGTATCGCAGATCTCACGTTTGATATTGGATTAGGCAAACCGTAAAAATGTGGTGGCATAGCTCTGTCATAGTCATCATGCCTAGCAGGTGGCTTCTCAGGGAGAAATTGGTATTCATGGACAGCCCCTGAAGCACCCTGAATAAAGACAGATTTTAGAGTCCACACCACATTTCAAATGAAATGAAAAAAAAAAAATAATAATAATTATCTACCAATGAAAGTGCAGGCTCAGAGCTAATTTGTTCATATTTGCAAAGATAGGTTCATTGTTTTCATACAATATAAGAAAATAATCATTGTTGTTGGGAGAGTAAAAAGTACTAGCATAGTGATTTCCCAATATACCGTGTAAAAAAACTATTATTATTATATTTCTTTAACTCTATCATCTTGGTAAACTATATAAATTAAAAAACCTGGCCGAGATTCTTTATTTTTTTATTACTATTATTTTTATTTTCTTATTCAGTATGCTTCAATATTATAGACATAAATATCAAATTTGAGAATGAGAAGTGGCACATAGAGCCTATGGTGAAAAAGCCCATCACAATATATGATGCTAATAAAAGCAAGTGCTGGTGTGAGAACCATGATAGCAGTACATGATGCTATTTTTAATTGTGTATGATGCTACTTTTAATATCATATGGTGCCATCATTTATACAGATGTTATTATATGTATAGTGTTGCTGTTTTTAAGAATATTTCCTAAAAATAGCGCCAAATACAATTAAAAATAGCATTACACACGGTTAAAAATAGGGTTCTCATGATTCTTACACTAAGGCTTGTTTCTCATTTCAACCACATTCTACATATACACACGACTGAACTGTTCAATATAGTACTGATGAGTAACTTTCTGAAGAGTCGGAATACCCATGAAGAATCTTAATTCATCAAACAACTTAAAATTACAGAGGTTTTGAAAGAGGGTATTGTAACCTTGATCGGTTTAGCATCTGTCCTCTCATATAATTGGGGATCATACGACCGCCAAGCTGCTTTCTGTTGTTCACATGTAACTGTTTCCACATGAAAATTTGTCAGGCTAATCAAGCGAGAATGAGAATTTTACAGTGTTATAGGCTTACAGTAACTAAGAAAAAAAACTATACAACAGAGCAGGTAAAGGAACACAAAATTTGAGTGAATCGCCTCATGTAGATACAAATTGTCAAAGACAGGCACATTTTGACAATTTAATCATACACAAATTGCCTCTGAAAAGCTTAAGCGTTTATTTGTTTCGGCTTGTCTAAGACCCGTGCCCGGTATATCATCAAGGGAACTTTCTCAATTGAATTAGTAGCCATAGGACGGTCTGAGGATGAAGAGGGATGGTCATTGTTATAGTATTTTACTAATTCTACGGAGTTCCAGAACTTCTTCCCAGTCACATTCATATGCACAAATTCATATTGTATTCCAGATAATGAGTGACCTATCGCACTTCAGGGAGAGAGCAACACCTCAGGATGCTAAGCACTTTCTGTACATATCAATAAGTTTAGTTAATGATGAAAATGAGCATGGAATTTGACCTGTAGGACAAAATAAAAGAACCATAACAAGGAAGATTTATTGAAACATCAATGTGTGTCCAGATGTCAAAGATTATCTATTTTTTGCTAACAATATAACTAAACTTATGTACAGCAACACGATACGTTACAAATGCAGTTTCCTGATACAAGATCACTTTCCAAGTGCTTGCATAAACCCAAAAATAACTTCCTTAAAAAGCTTGATTCATCTATGCTACTGTACATTAAGATACTAACAGGTAAAGAAAGAAGATTAATTTCATTCTCACAAATCAGCTGCATCAGTTAATTCAGTCAATAAATCTAAAAGCATAGATAATTGCCATCAAACTCGACTCTGAGCAAGGGATAAATAACATAGGACTCACTCATGAAACTGGATAAGCATATATTACCATTTTAAAAGAATATTCAAGCACAAATTATCAAACTAACACCAGCCAAAGTAGCTTATCAAGATTTAAAACCTAAATATTACTGACAAAAGGCATCCGGAAAGAGATGTACCGATAGGTGCACCAAATGAGCCAGGTGGCAACGGGTCAAACTCCATCCCCAGAATGGGCCCATCCTCCCTCAATGGCTCGCCCAACTGGGCCTCCACAAACTTAATCGCTCTCTGTTCTGATACGGCTAAAGGCGGCTCATAGAATCTCTTTGCGGGCAGTGACTCCATTGATATCCTAGGCACAGCTGTCCCCACTTTATGAGCTACTCTTGTTTGCTGCTGGTGCTGCACATTCGTATTCCCGTAGAGATCTAAGCCCGGCCCGGCCGACCTGCCCGGCGCAACATCAGCATTCTTGACCACTATTCTGTGCGCAATCCCACTGGGGGACGCCGCAGCTGTGGATGACAAGGCACTCTTTTTTAGCTTTTTCTCTGGGGGAACCTTTCGGTCCTTTAACCTCCGATGACAGAACCACATTTGAAGCTGCCGATCAGTAAGGCCTAATTTGATCGAAAGCTCGGCTCTCAGGGCCTCCGAAGGGTACGCCTCGACTACATTCAAAATTCATGAATTAAGTAGACAAAATATGTATAATCAAGCCTAATATTAGAGAAAAAAAATATATATCTTAATATTTTGTGATTGTAAGGCTGTCTAAACTACACAAGGCCAATAACGGCCAGGCATTTCCACCAAATTCAACTATAAAATAGCTCAACGTAATAGTAACATATTAATACATACATCATATCCAAAAATAGAGAAAATTACAGCATAATAATAATAATAATAATTGTAATTAGGATTTCTAATTTTGAAATATAAACAGGAATAAATAGAATTTTTGAAATATAAACAGGAAAATAAATAAGACTCACCGGCATAAGTTTTCTCCAAAATTTCCAGCTGAGAAGGAGTCTTCATTTTCCGCTTCACCTTAGGTTCAGCCTCCGGCGAGTTCTTCTTCTCGGCCTCCACACTTACACCACCATCTCCTCCTCCGCCTCTCTCTCCTCCTCCATCAGTCTCCATCTTACTCCCAAAAATCACAAAAGCCCAACTTCACTTACTCTATAACAGATCAAATAAATCAACCCAACAATTTTTTTTAGCTCAAATAGAGATCAACCCCTCACAACCCATCCTCCATTGAACAACAGAAGTATGAATTTCACAACCCACGCCCTAAAAGCTTAGGGCTTTCGAATTCAATTCAATCAAAAAATAAAAATAAATAAAATAAAATAAAAAGAACGAAAAAGAGGAGTGTAGAATGAGCAAAACCCTTCACGGCCGCTCAAGATAATCTATTAGCTATTGGTACATACAAAAAAAAAAAAAAACTCAACTTTGACAAAAGATGTGCGGTGAAGATTTGTGATTTTTAATACCCACAATAAAATACAATTAAATTTGCTGCTACTCCAAACTTACACACTCGCGAACCAAGAAAACTAAAAAAAAAAAGAATATAAAAAAATTTGGCTCAACAGTAACGCTACTGCGAGTAGTTGTACAAAAAATAATAATTACTCTCGTATTAAAGTTGTGATTTTCTTGTTTTTCTTTTGTGCAGTGAGGATAAAAGGGAAGAAAAAGGACAATAACTACAGAGAATTCAAAGACTTGAAATAATAATGTAAACCCACAAAACCCATAAACAAAACAATAATAATTCCCCTTTGTCTTTCTAATCCCACCCATCAAATTCTTTATTTTGGTTTGTTTTTTGTTGTGGAAAAATTCTGGGTCTTGTGATTTATCGAATACGATGCTGTAAAAAAAAAAAAAAAAAGGAAAAAAACTATAATAAAAGAATGTTAGAATAAATAGTGGGTTTTGAATATTGGGGCGTTTTTTGATTCACATATGAATTTTTTGGATTTGTGGTTTCGGGTTTTCTCTCACTACCTCTCTCTCTCTCTCTCTCTCTCTCTCTCTCTCTCTCTCTCTCTCTCTCACCCTTTTTCTCTGTTGTGTGTGTGTGAGTATCCGGCTGTTTTATCTCTGTTTTTCGGTTTGTCGGATCCGGCTGTGATGCCTGGTATTGATTGTTCGGGTCGGGTTGTGATTTGGGCGTTTTGGCAATGGGTGGTGGCGGTTGCAGGAGACGCGCTACTGTGGGAGGTAGTACTTTTTTTTTATCTGTAATAAATGGTAAATATCGAGTGGTGGGTCCCACCAGCTCATTTGCGGGAAAATTTGTGCTTGGGAGTTGGGAGTTTTGACTTGTGACTGGAGTTGAGTTTGGAAACGGTTTCTATCACCTCATAAATAATAATCTGTACCGCCACAGCTTATATAACCTATGCTTAAAATTTTTTTATTCAATAATAATTAAAGTTCTTAATTATGCTAGGTGTGCAATTTGGGTCGACCAATAGATTAGTCGGGGCATAGTTTCGAATATCGTGGTTGGCTAAAAAAAAAAAAGAAAATTCCTAATTATGCCTTTTAAAATATCTTTACCTTAATCTATCACCATTGGAATTGTCAACTATCTGAGCTCGTATTTTTTTTTTTCAAATATTTTATCAACTAAAATTTTAGGAAATTATATATATATAAAAAATTATTCGCGGATCGCGACTCGACATGAACTGAATGAGGTTGAGTTAGGGGCGGAACCACTTATATTGTTGCCGGGGTTGTAACCCAACTGACTCTCAAGTAACCACCAATATTATATATAAAAATTTCATTTTATTTTGAAGTTAAGCCTTGCCAAGTATTGGAACCCATAAACAATTCAAATCAACCTTAATTAAACATACTTTTTGAAAAGTCCAAAATAATAGGATACTGATTGTAATGGCTATTTTTTTTTTTTTTTTCTTTTCGCTTTGCTTGAATAAATTCTCTCTCTTAATTTCTAATTATTGATATTAAAAGGATTTCTTTTTTTTTTTTTACAAAAAAAAAAGTATCTAGGTTATTGTTATTATATATTAAGCTGAAATGTTACTTAAAAAAAATAATTAAGAGTGATATAGAGTACTTAATATTTTAGTTATGGGCTTTAAGTAAACTTATTTTTATTTTACTATTTATGTGTTAGAAGATATATACTTTTTTACCGGTGGATTACGTTTTTTTTTTTCTTTTGATTTTGTTTTTAACTTTTAGTCTTTCTCTTGCACCCATTCAAATACCAATACCATTTGTTGGATTCAAATTGATGAAATTTAAAATTTATGATCAAAATGCAGGGCATTTCATAACGTAAATATGCATTGTTATTAATTACGCATTCTTTGTTATGAAACAACCAATTTGCAACTGATAAAGGTTGGGTAAAAATTCGAAAAAGTAATAATAACTAGTAATTGACGCTTCTTAGTTGGTTGTTGAACTGACGGTTACGGTCCGGTTTTAAACTGTTAGTTTTCAATTACTATTCTAATGTTAGAATTCAAAAAATTCTTTAGAAACTACCGATTTTTTGAAAAAAAAAAACATTTGTTTTCCAAAAGGAACAACAGTTTAGACAATTTTTTACCATTTATTTTTTGAATTTTGAGAAATCAATGACCTTTGTTTTTTTTTTTTTTTTTGTTCCCCTCCCGAAATTTTCATTTTTTTCTACTTTATAACTAAACATTCTGTTGTGGTTTTTACATTTTGCAATTCGTAATCGAACTACCGAATCATAATAGGAACTACAATCAAGGATTAACCGAACTATTGATCAACAGTTAGAACCGCCTGTTTGCCGGTTCATTTACTAATCTTGAACATGTTTATTTGCTATACTAGTGTGTATCCCGTGCGATGCACGACGGGCTTGTTTCTTAAAATATTTTTTAAAACTTTATTTTAAGAATATGTTAGCTTGATAACAGTTTATATTAATAAATACTACTTTAACATCTATATTTATTTTTTTGATATAGACAAAATAATATTTTTACTTATTTTTGTTCATTATAAAACTTCACTATTATTTTTTAAGAAAATTTATTGTTGTATAAAGTCATTATTATTATTATTATTTATAACATTTATAAAAGTTCAACTCTATATATATATATAGATATATAATGATAAATACATAATATTCATTAATATTATTTAGTTATTTAAAATAATTTAAAAATATTTAAACAAATTCAAAATAAATATTGTGTACGTATATGCATTCTATTCATTTTTAAAATTTGATTTATTTTATAATAATATTTATTTGATTATTATTATTAACTTATCTGTAGATATATTTTTTGTAAAGCATGTTATGTAATCATAAATGTTTTAGATAAAAAGTATATATTTTATTGTTGTATAAAGTCATTATTATTATTATTATTATTATTATTATTTAAAACATTTATAAAAGTTCAACTCTCTCTCTCTCTCTCTCTCTATATATATATATATATATAATGATAAATACTTAATATTCATTAATATTATTTAGTTATTTAAATAATTTAAAAATATTTAAACACATTTAAAATAAATATTGTGTACGTATATGCATTCTATTCATTTTTAAAATTTGTTTTATTTTATAATAATATTTATTTGATTATTATTATTAATTTATCTATAGATATATTTTTGTAAAGCATGATATGTAATCATAAATGTTTTATAAAAAGTATATATTTTATTGTTAAATCTATTGTGCACAAAATAAAAATGTGAAGGATTGACATATTATTTTATTATAATTACTTATCCATAGATTAAAAATTTTTTAGGAATGTTTGAAAACTTAACTAAGTGACGAAATATTTGATTTCAAAACAATATAGATATTATAATCATATAATTTATTTGTTATGTTTATGGTTTATAATTATACTATAACTTCAGATCCTTTCTTTTTTACTTATTAAAGTGATTCCAAATTTTTGAAAAGATTGATGAACATTTTACTTTGTATATATAAATGTTAAAATGGAAATAGTAAAAATTTTTCCAACATCTTAATAAAATGAAATTTAAAAGTCAAAAAAAAAAGAAAAGAAAAAGACGTAATATTAGAAAAAAAAGCATATATGAAAGAAAAAAATTATCATGCTTCATAGGAAGATTTTATAATATAATACTCAGACATTTTATTTTACTTTTTTCATTGTTTATAGTTCTAAATATCAAATGAAGGATATTAAAATAAATCAAAACAATACCTACAAAAAAAAAAACAATTTTTTTTTTTTTTAAAAAAAAGGGATAAAATTGAGATAAATATGGACATCAAGATAAGATGGAATGTATATCTATTACAAAAATAATTGATATTCGTTTCAAAAATTCTAAATAATTCAAAAAAATCATGGACGAGAGAAACATAAAAAAATCAAAAAACAATTCCGTTAGTAGTAAAAATCGAAAATATGAGCATGAATCTTCATTTTTTTTAGGTTTTTTCTTATTCCTATTATATAGTAATTGATATGAAAAATACATATAATAATAAATTTAATTTTATATTCTTAAGGATGTGAGTATATAATATACAAATATTTATATGCTTAAATATCTTATACTAAAAGAGTATAAGTTTATTTTATGTTTACAATTAAAATGTTAATTGTTTAATTATATATAATTAAATTACGTATATAAGAATATAAAATGTAGCAACATGGATGGTCATATACAAAACACATGCAAATAATAGTATAAGAAAATATTATTAAATCAATTAGATTATAGAATATATAATAGTATCTAAATGATCTATTTACATATTTAAGATAAGGAAAGAATCCCACAAAATCTGAACAAACAAATTCCATTCAAAAAAATTGCATGGGAGAAATAATTCAAACAAATTGCATGGGCAGGAAAAAAATAAAAATCTTTAAGGAAACGAAACACAAGCGGGAATTTGAAGCGGGAAAATGAAACAATTATTTTTGAGTTTTTCAAACATTTTTCCTTAACTCTTTTATATAGTAATAGATTCTCATATATTAAGATAATTATAGCTCATATCAACTTTGAAATCTGGCTACGCCCTTGTTGAGCTCAGTATATTTGTCAAACGAGTTGAGTAGAACTGAAGTTTAAATGAACCAAATCAAGTCGAATATATGAGTAACTCGTTCTGTCTAACAACAGCTCTAATTATCATGGTGTTAAAATTCTCATGTCTCATAAATTATATGTAATGTAATTTTTGAAAATTAAAATTGCTTTGGAGTACGATGGGCTACCATTTCAGTTTTCAGTTGGGCCTGAAAATTGTCAGCCCGACCTAACTTACCATGAAATGTGGGTTCAAATTAACTAACCAAAGCAACCAGAAGTGAATGCATCAAAGACTAACCAAAAGGCAAAAACATATCCAATCTTTGGTAGTTGTTTTTTTTTTTGGTAAGGGGACCTTCCGGTTTCTGGAACCATAGGAGAACCGACTAATCCGGAATCGAGTCGAGTAGGACCACAAGGACTGCAAAGCTCTCCCTCAAGAATTGTTTAGTTATACTATACATCACCCAAATTCTTTTTTTTTTTTTTTTAATTCTTTTTCTGGCTTATAGTTATAGATGTTTTGGCTTTATTTCATCTTCCTAATAAAGTATGACCACAAAAAATATGATCACCTAAGAGGAGACATGCCAAAAACAATGCTGATGGACACTACAAGAATTTTTATATTTTGTGATTTTTTTTCTATGAACCAAACTTTATTATAATGTGAAGTAAAAATGATGAATTTTATTTTCGTCAAATATATTTTTTAACAATATTTATTTTTGTCACCATATCAGGCTTTTTATGACAATTTTGTGTGTGGCAAAAAAATAATTTGTCTCAAATTGGTATGCAATAATCACAATTTTTTATTTTTGTCATTGAAAAATATTCTATTTATGACATCTAGTTATTGTTATTAGTAAATTACGTATTTTATGACAATTTTTTTCATGATGAGTAATATTTTGTTATATTTTCATAATTGTTAATTAGTACAAAATTTATTGTCAGCACTAAAAAAATACCATATTAACGATACTCTTAAATTTCGTCACAAATGTACATATACTCTGACGAATTTGTTACATTTAATAATAAACAATTGATTAATTTTATTTTTGTCAGTAAAAACCATATTTATGACATTGTTATTTTTCATCACATAATTACAAAATACATGACGACTTTTGACACAATTTTGTATATATTAATGATAAGTTTAAAGCTGCGACAGTAAAATTTTGTCACGACATGCTTTTAGTGACGAAAAAAATTGTGATGAATATTTTGGTACTGAAATATTATATAATTATATTTTTGTAGTGAGAGTTGTCACTCTCTTTTGTATATCTTATCAACTCGCAAATTCGTGTACGAGACGGTTTAATTATTAAGTAGAATGGCCTATTATATATTTAAAAAATGTGCACCTTTGCTATGAAATGACATACTTCTGTTTTTAGAGGACGAAAAATCAATTTGTAAGTCGTTTTTTAATAGTATGAATTCCACCTTAAGCTCAACTAGTTTTTTACCAATCCAATCAATACCCACAAGATTTTTCATTCTACAACATGTATAAATTCTAGGTTCTCCATGTTAATGGAAATACTACGGTCCCGTTACGGTACCATCCCCTTGAGTATTTTAATCGTTGGATCCACATGTAGTTAGACAAGATAGATGATTCAACGGTTAAAATGCCCGACGGGATGATACCGTAACGGGATACCTGGTTTCTTCTTTCCCTTCCTTTTTAATTTTCTTTTTCAAGTTTCTTTTATGCAAATTAATTTTATTTTAACTGGACAATGCTACGGTCATGTTACAGAGTCATTCCGTCGGGGTTTGCAACCGTTAAATAAACTATCCCGACGATTACATGATGATTTAACGGTTACAAACCCGACAGAATGGTTCCGTAACAGGATCGTAGCATATCTCTATTTTAACTAAGTGATTACCATTAAAAAAAAATGAAAAACCCATTGTAGATTCGATTCTCAAACACCAAAAAAGCATCAAACCCCGTGAAAATCAATCAAAAAAAAAAAAACATCAGAAAAGAAAATAAATAACATTAATTGATTAATTAATTATTCAATTAAGTAAGATTATCTTCTTAATTTCTAACGGCGGGAGAGAGGGAACCCGATCCCGTGCCGGCGCGTGGGGAACATCACGAACAGCAGGCTGCAAACCACCCCCACCGTCACCGGCGCCGCCCTCAGCACCTCCAACGTCTCCTCCGATGGCGACGGCCAGAAGCACCCCACCACATTCCCGTCGAACAGTGCCACCGACCCAAACACCATCACCGACATCACCGCGTGGAACACGTCCACAAATCTCAGCCGGAACCTCTCCACCTCCAGCGGCTGCGACCCGCCGTCGACGACCCATATCCCCCGGAGCGTGGCCACCCCGTACCGGACCTTACCCCGCTCGTCCCGGAAGCTGTCCGTGAAGCTGAGGAGGAAGCAGGAGGCGGCGCACAAGGCGAGGAGGCCGGCGGTTGCGGCACGGCTGACGGGCGACCGGCACCGTCCCTCGTTTGTGACGACGGGGGAGACAACCTGGAAAGCCAGGACGGAGCCCGTGGGGAGAAGGTTAGCGAGGTGGGCCGTGCCCTTGAAGGCCTTGCGGACGGCCTTCTGCCCGGGAGTTTTGGCCGGCTTGGCGGGCTCCGTCGTCTCCTGGGCCGGAGGGGTTCCAAGGAGGGGGACGTTGATGCTGGTGTCGTCCGGCTTGGGCGGGTTGGTGGATATTGATGGTGCAGCCATTAATTAATTGGAGATATGTATGGAAATTGATATTTCCTTTTTGGGGTTTTTTTTTT